TAGTGAACCATCCGGGTCACTATCTTACTCATCAGGTTTGGGCTCGCAAGACTAGTGATGTCTTTATTTCTCTCTCTCTCTCTCTCTCTCTCTCTTTTCAAACATAGACAGTCCAAAATGTAATATCCGAGGTTCCAAAGAGATTTGTTATGAGTTTAAGTGATTATGATTTAAAAATGTTTCGATACCACTCCGGAATTACCTAAATGTCCAGTTTTCTTACAATGAACGTGTTACAATTCTCCTGATTTGAAGAAATTATCTACAGGTCGTACGGGATGCAAACAAGTTGGCCAAACTAGTCAAGAAGAAGAAGAAAGCACAGAATTGGCTTGACTACTACCAACTCAAGTATTCAAGAAACTCTACAATTAAGCCTGTCGTGAAGGTAACTATTTAAGTGGAATATTTCTTATCGGGTCTTCTCCTGCCTATGTTGAATTTCTATCTTTTTTTTTGAAATACTCCTGAAATTTGTATTGCAACTAGACTGGTTTTCTTGGACTCTGGGGGAAGAAAGTGGACGCAATTGAGTTTCAAACAGCAGAGATTGAGAGGCTATCCATAGAAGTAAGTAATTCTTGTCCAGTTTCTATCTTGAAAATTTTGCATACTTTATATACTATTGTGATAACTGATTCTTATGCATGCATGGTTGGTAAGAGCAATGTCAAACTGTAGGAGTTTAAAATCGTAAGAAATTTTTAATAATTAGGCTGCACAGCATATGGTGCATAGGTTTGAAGCTGTTAGTTGATCATTATATTGCAGTACACTAATTCAAGTATAGGGGTTAATGCCTTTTTTTTTTCCGGGTTTCTTCTGCCGATTAATTCTCACTCCATTTATGTTAGGAGATGAATCAGCAACGATTTGACGGTAAGTTGGGAACTACTGTGGGAAACTGGATGGGTTTCATAAATGGCTCATTTTATTTTAGGTCCTTAATGTTATTCAATATTGAGAGAATACTCGAAGTTGTTCGTATAAACAGAAATTGTACTAATGGGTCTCTAAATCTAAATTATATAATAAAAAATGTCATAGTAATATATGTGATTGCACTTAATATTACTTTTTTTTTTCCTGAAATTTTTTATTCCTTTTCCACTATATTTGCTGAGGTCTTTGTACTGTCCAGATAGCCTCGGAGAGAAAAAGGATTTCCGATGATCCAAAATCTATTATGCCAGCAGCATTTGTATCATTTAAGTCGCGTTGGGGTGCAGCTGTTTGTGCACAAACTCAGCAATCTAGAAATCCAACTATTTGGTTGAGTGAATGGGCTCCAGAACCACGTGATGTATATTGGGAAAATCTTGCAATTCCATATGTTTCACTTACCATTAGAAGGCTAATTATGGGCGTTGCATTCTTCTTTCTTACTTTCTTCTTCATGATTCCCATATCATTAGTACAGTCTCTTGCTAGCATTGAGGGGATTGAGAAGATTGCACCATTCCTAAAACCCCTTATTGAAAGGTATATTTCACCCTTGGATCATTTAAATCCTGTATTGGCTTTTGAATTGACAACAAAATATTATTATTCAATTTATTCATTTACCATTCTTTTTGCAGGGACTTTGTTAAGTCATTTGTCCAAGGTTTTCTTCCTGGAATCGTGTTGAAGCTTTTTCTCATTTTTCTGCCTACAATATTGATGATAATGGCTAAATTTGAAGGATTTACATCTCTATCTTCTCTAGAAAGGAGAGCAGCAGCTCGTTACTACGTTTTCAACTTTGTGAACGTGTTCCTTGGCAGTGTTATTGCAGGAGCTGCTTTTGAACAGCTGAATACTTTTATTAAGCAGTCTGCTAATGAGTAAGATACTCTACCCCCTATAAATTAGTCCGCAATGATCCATTATAGTTGATTTCATTTGTTTTGTTGTATGCATTTCCATCGAAGAACTGAGGTGATCGGTTTGCAATTTGTTGGGGTCGTTCTTTTTCTGATTGTGGTTTCGGGTGCTTACATTTTCGTATGTATGTTCACGTGCATGCATGCATAAGTACTCATCATCTTTTCAATTTCGCACTTTTGTTCTTTTCTGTAGAATTCCCAAGACAATCGGTGTGGCGATACCGATGAAAGCGACTTTCTTTATAACTTATATCATGGTTGATGGATGGGCTGGCATTGCTGGGGAGATTTTGATGTTAAAGCCCCTAATAATGTTCCACTTGAAGAACTTTTTCTTAGTGAAGACTGAAAAGGATAGGGAAGAGGCAATGGATCCTGGAAGTCTTGGTTTCAACACAGGAGAACCTCGAATTCAATTATATTTTCTATTAGGCCTCGTCTATGCAACTGTGACGCCTCTCTTGCTTCCTTTTATCATAGTCTTCTTCGCCCTCGGCTTTGTTGTCTTCCGGCATCAGGTTAGTTAAGAACTCTTATACATTTTTCTCATGGATTATCGTTTAAGATACACGGATCTTGGTTCGTCTGCTTCGTATTTATGTCTATATTTACTGAATGTTTTATACCCTTCCAAAAAATTGCAGATCATAAATGTTTACAACCAGGAATATGAGAGTGCTGCGGCGTTCTGGCCTGATGTCCATGGGCGAATCATTTATGCATTGATTTTCTCACAGGTGGTTCTAATGGGACTACTAAGTACAAAGAAAGCTGCCCAATCAACCCCATTTCTAATTGCACTTCCAGTAATCACAATATCATTCCATCTGTACTGCAAGGGCCGTTACGAACCTGCATTTATCCGATATCCCATAGAGGTTTGTCAAACTTTATTTAGTAGTCAGGCCATCACGATTTATGTTCACCCCGATAGCCCGATTTTATTGTTTGAACGGGTCTTTCCTCTTTTTTACTTCATGTTTGTTTCTTATCAGTTCTGATTGTAATGTTCGGATTGCAGGAAGCAATGATGAAGGACACTTTGGAACGTGCAAGGGAACCAAACCTGAATTTGAAAGGATACTTACAAACTGCATATGCCCATCCAGTTTTCAAGGAAAGTGAAGAGGACGATGAAGCCGAATCAAACGAAGCATTTGAAACAGAGAGTACGTTGGTAGCGACGAAACGCCAGTCGAGAAGGAACACTCCAATACCGAGCAAAGCCAGTGTTCCTTCGTCTCCTTCTTTGCCCGAGGTTCGGAGGGATAGGCATCAACCTTGAAAAGTAAATCAAAAGGTACATAGGATCCACATCTCTTTGTACATTTTACTGTAAACTAAAATGGTGTCTGTTGTGGAGAAATGATGATGCTGTAAATTGTATGAGAAAAGGTGTAGAATGTAGAGTAGTAACCAATGAGAAGAGTTGGAGTTGTCATTATGCTTAGCATAGTATAATTTTTTCTTATTTAGTTGGTTTTTTTAATAATAAGGATTATGATAAATTATGTACTGTCGGGGCCTTTTCTGCAATTTCCTGTTTTTTTTGGGTTCAATGTGTAAACTATTTTTGTGGCAAGCCCTCTTTTATAGGTTAAAGGAGGATTGGATTTAACCTACAACTCTTAATTGTTGAATCTGAAGTGGACTGTAATTGAGTGGAGTTTCTTGAGAGTCGGGTCGACTCTCGAGTCTAAAAACTCTATTTGCTGAAGACTTTCTTCAAACGAACAAGTTTCGATTTAGTTAAATGCCTTTTTCAAAGAAAAAGAAAGAAAGAATACTCTACTAGAAACACGACACTAAGAGTTGGATCAGCAAACTTATATTCAGCAAAAATTTCATTTTTTTGGGTAGTACACAATTGGATGGGGGTCGGGATATAATTTGATATGGTAGATGGTAAAATTTGCGATAGTTTGAACTTCTTTCTAAATCAATTTAGAGTTAAGCTTTCTTTAACCTGAATCAATTTATTGACGTTCTTTAATCAAAAGAAGAAGAAACATGTCTTAATCAATTTGTTAATTTGTTCGTGTTGACATAAATAATGGTAACACTAATTTAAGAGTTGTCTAGTTGTTAATTTTTTTTTTTAAAATTTGTCGTAGTGTCCAGCCAACTCGGTCATTTACTCATTGAACTCGAACCTGAATCAACCAATTCCTAAAAGCATAACCTAACCCAACCTTTATAATTTCGGTTTGGTTCGTTCGAGTTATCATGTTCAATGTATGCTCCTAATAAAATCGGTGAAATACAAAAAAAATAAAAAATAAAAAATTATGAATTCATTTCCAATGGTGGGTATTAGGTACGATCGAAATTTAGTAGATAAAAAAAAAAAAAAAAACACACTTTATAAGATTTATGTTTGTTAGGGTTTTATTAACATTATTTTATTTTTTACAACAGCTTTTTTAATTATTATTTTTTATTTAATGAAAGTTACTTATTGGCTGTTGGCTTACCAAAAAACCCTTTGCATTCAAAGAAGTGAAAAGGGGCATATTTGGAAATAAATTAGTGAATTAATTAAATATAGAATTGCCAACCATAATATAATTCCAGCCATTATTAATGGAAATATTGACATTTTATTAATATTCCAAATACCATTTAAAAATAATAATTATAATCAATTAATATGATATTTATTAGGTACATGAAGCTATTTATTATGTCATAATAGCATAAATTGCTAGAAAAAAAAAGAGTTATTCTAATATGATGTAATTAAACATTTTTTTTGGTGTAACATTCCAAAAAACTTAAAAAAATTACAATAATACCCTTAAAATTAAAGACGAAGATGATGAATAAGACGAAATAGACGATTTCAATTAAGTATAAATTATTTATTTTTTTAATAAAAGTTAAAAAGATGTTAACGGTGGGTATTATTTAAATATGATAAATTTAAATTTTAAGTTTTTTTTAGTTTTAAGGGTATTTTTAAAATTTATAAAATTCTAGTTATTTTTTTGAAAGCGACGTCGTTTTTCTGATATTTTGAATCTCACACGACATAGAGTAAAAAGATATTGAATTGCAATGTTTTGTTTTCCACTCGAGACTACTGAACGTGTTATCCACGCGCTCTACCTATCATCGTATATAGTCTTCCTCAGTTTCTTCCTTTTCTGCCGCTCTGCAAATTCCGAAGCCCCAATTCTGTTTTCCCAACAATGGCGCGAAAGTCTTCTCTCCTCAAGCGAACCCTAGCTTCTTCCTGCATTATTCTCGCCCTATATGCCATCGTCAACACCTTCATCAGCTCCACAGCCACTCTCAAGCTCGACCGTTCCTTCCCCTTCAGCTCTGCCAATTCCGTCGTAGTCTCCGATGAATTTGGTTCGCAAGACACTGATCTCCTCAATACTTCAGGAAAATTCGTTTCCCCTGTCAAGATTTACCTCTACGATGTGCCGACGAGGTTTACGTACGGTGTAATTGAGCACCACGGCATAGCGCGCGGAGGGAAATCCGTCGCTGAAGTCACGGCGCTTAAGTATCCAGGTCATCAGCATATGGCGGAGTGGTTTCTGTTCACGGATCTGCTTCGACCGGAGTCGGAGCGTATTGGGTCTGCTGTGGTTAGGGTGTTCGATCCTAAGGAAGCGGATTTGTTCTATGCACCGTTCTTCGCGTCCTTAAGCTTGATTGTGAACCCTATCCGACCTGCAACGTCGTCGGGTCAGCAGCAGCAGCTTGTGTACAGTGACGAGGAGTCGCAGGACGCCTTCATGGAGTGGTTGGAGAAGCAGGAGTACTGGAAGCGGAACAATGGATGGGATCACGTCATTATAGCGCAGGACCCGAATGCATTATATAGGGTCATTGACAGGGTTAAGAACAGTATCTTGCTCGTTTCGGATTTCGGGCGGTTGAGGGCCGACCAAGCATCGCTAGTTAAGGACGTAATTGTCCCATACTCCCATAGGATCAATACTTATAATGGTGATATCGGAGTTGAAAATCGCAAGACTTTATTGTTCTTTATGGGCAATCGATACCGTAAAGAGGTATACTTATGCAATTCCTTGAAATTATTCTATTTATGCAACGCCTTTCAAATTAACAATGGATATTGTTAAGGATTCATCTTGTTTCTTCCTTTTGCCCTTTTTTTTGGTTATTATACATTAGCTTTTAGGTTTAGAAAGTTGGGAAGACTTGCATGATTGATTGTCATGGGGGAGGGAATTGTACGTTTGAAATAAACTTGTCTGGAAAGTGGAAAGTGGAAAGTGGAAAGATGACATTGGATATAACCCTTTTAGCATTAAGCTCTAGATACTGTTAGCTGAAAAGGATAGTGATATGAGGACCTTTAATTCACTTACGTTTAGGATATGATGGTTAAACATTCGAGGACCAAGTCTAGGGCGTTATTTATTCTTGAGAACCTACATAACTTGCTCATAATACTGTGGATTTGGTTTTAATTCTTTCGTTTCTTTTCTTGGATATGATTTTTTTCTGGGAGGGGGTAGGAATTTCTTTAGTTTCTTTTTAATCATATTGGACTTGAAATTGATTTGTCTTTTTATTTTTTCCATCAGTGTCTTAGTTTGCTAACATAAACCTCAACTAGTAATGCTGAACTATTGCTAGACCTTATAACAATCGTTGTAGGAAACTCATAAGGTATCTATGTAATAGATGACCCTAGACTTGAATGGATGAATCATCTTTAAAATTTAACCGTTTTTTCCTCTTGACAAGTCACTTCACAGTAGTTGATTCAATTTTGTCTTGCAATTTGACATATAGAGTTAATATGCATATACTTATTATCGAAGGATTAGCCTTCCGTTAGGAGATATTTGCGTAATTCATGAGTTAGTCTCCAAGCTGAGAATTAATATATCTATTACTTAGTCTTAGGGGAGTGTCAAAGGATATTTGTGTATTCCCCTTAAAAAAATAGTTGACCTCCTTGATTTAACCGGTTAGATTTTTTTGGACTTAGTTACTAGGAATTATTTTTTAGATTTAATTACCTAGGTTATTATTTAGATTTATTGTTACTTGTAAGATTTATTTAGATTTATCTTGTTTTATTACCTATTATCTAGAGATTTATTTAGATTACTTCGTATAATCTATTGATTTAGATTTAGTTAGTTTTTCTCCATAAAGGGACATGTAATTCTCTGTAGAGCCATTAGGTTGCTTTTAGTTTTCATGGGTCTGTCGATTTGGTTTGGTGGGTTTTAGTTTTCTAGTTCTAAGCTTAATTGGTTTTGGTGGGTTTTAGTTTTCTAGTTCTAAGCTTAATTGGTTTTGGTGGGTATTCTCCTACCTCTGGATGACTTGTCTAGGAAATCTTTAAGCTTTGACTAGTTAGAGGTGTTCTTCCAATAGTTCACTTTTATATGCTGCATCACTAATATCATTCTTTCATGTGAGCTTGAGCCGTTTATTTCATTTTTGGCAGGTCCTTGTAAGAAATGTCCCACCCGATCCGGATGAATCTGTCAGCGAGCTTGTTGAGCACTTTTTCTTAGTGAACCATCCGGGTCACTATCTTACTCATCAGGTTTGGGCTCGCAAGACTAGTGATGTCTTTATTTCTCTCTCTCTCTCTCTCTCTCTCTCTTTTCAAACATAGACAGTCCAAAATGTAATATCCGAGGTTCCAAAGAGATTTGTTATGAGTTTAAGTGATTATGATTTAAAAATGTTTCGATACCACTCCGGAATTACCTAAATGTCCAGTTTTCTTACAATGAACGTGTTACAATTCTCCTGATTTGAAGAAATTATCTACAGGTCGTACGGGATGCAAACAAGTTGGCCAAACTAGTCAAGAAGAAGAAGAAAGCACAGAATTGGCTTGACTACTACCAACTCAAGTATTCAAGAAACTCTACAATTAAGCCTGTCGTGAAGGTAACTATTTAAGTGGAATATTTCTTATCGGGTCTTCTCCTGCCTATGTTGAATTTCTATCTTTTTTTTTGAAATACTCCTGAAATTTGTATTGCAACTAGACTGGTTTTCTTGGACTCTGGGGGAAGAAAGTGGACGCAATTGAGTTTCAAACAGCAGAGATTGAGAGGCTATCCATAGAAGTAAGTAATTCTTGTCCAGTTTCTATCTTGAAAATTTTGCATACTTTATATACTATTGTGATAACTGATTCTTATGCATGCATGGTTGGTAAGAGCAATGTCAAACTGTAGGAGTTTAAAATCGTAAGAAATTTTTAATAATTAGGCTGCACAGCATATGGTGCATAGGTTTGAAGCTGTTAGTTGATCATTATATTGCAGTACACTAATTCAAGTATAGGGGTTAATGCCTTTTTTTTTTCCGGGTTTCTTCTGCCGATTAATTCTCACTCCATTTATGTTAGGAGATGAATCAGCAACGATTTGACGGTAAGTTGGGAACTACTGTGGGAAACTGGATGGGTTTCATAAATGGCTCATTTTATTTTAGGTCCTTAATGTTATTCAATATTGAGAGAATACTCGAAGTTGTTCGTATAAACAGAAATTGTACTAATGGGTCTCTAAATCTAAATTATATAATAAAAAATGTCATAGTAATATATGTGATTGCACTTAATATTACTTTTTTTTTTCCTGAAATTTTTTATTCCTTTTCCACTATATTTGCTGAGGTCTTTGTACTGTCCAGATAGCCTCGGAGAGAAAAAGGATTTCCGATGATCCAAAATCTATTATGCCAGCAGCATTTGTATCATTTAAGTCGCGTTGGGGTGCAGCTGTTTGTGCACAAACTCAGCAATCTAGAAATCCAACTATTTGGTTGAGTGAATGGGCTCCAGAACCACGTGATGTATATTGGGAAAATCTTGCAATTCCATATGTTTCACTTACCATTAGAAGGCTAATTATGGGCGTTGCATTCTTCTTTCTTACTTTCTTCTTCATGATTCCCATATCATTAGTACAGTCTCTTGCTAGCATTGAGGGGATTGAGAAGATTGCACCATTCCTAAAACCCCTTATTGAAAGGTATATTTCACCCTTGGATCATTTAAATCCTGTATTGGCTTTTGAATTGACAACAAAATATTATTATTCAATTTATTCATTTACCATTCTTTTTGCAGGGACTTTGTTAAGTCATTTGTCCAAGGTTTTCTTCCTGGAATCGTGTTGAAGCTTTTTCTCATTTTTCTGCCTACAATATTGATGATAATGGCTAAATTTGAAGGATTTACATCTCTATCTTCTCTAGAAAGGAGAGCAGCAGCTCGTTACTACGTTTTCAACTTTGTGAACGTGTTCCTTGGCAGTGTTATTGCAGGAGCTGCTTTTGAACAGCTGAATACTTTTATTAAGCAGTCTGCTAATGAGTAAGATACTCTACCCCCTATAAATTAGTCCGCAATGATCCATTATAGTTGATTTCATTTGTTTTGTTGTATGCATTTCCATCGAAGAACTGAGGTGATCGGTTTGCAATTTGTTGGGGTCGTTCTTTTTCTGATTGTGGTTTCGGGTGCTTACATTTTCGTATGTATGTTCACGTGCATGCATGCATAAGTACTCATCATCTTTTCAATTTCGCACTTTTGTTCTTTTCTGTAGAATTCCCAAGACAATCGGTGTGGCGATACCGATGAAAGCGACTTTCTTTATAACTTATATCATGGTTGATGGATGGGCTGGCATTGCTGGGGAGATTTTGATGTTAAAGCCCCTAATAATGTTCCACTTGAAGAACTTTTTCTTAGTGAAGACTGAAAAGGATAGGGAAGAGGCAATGGATCCTGGAAGTCTTGGTTTCAACACAGGAGAACCTCGAATTCAATTATATTTTCTATTAGGCCTCGTCTATGCAACTGTGACGCCTCTCTTGCTTCCTTTTATCATAGTCTTCTTCGCCCTCGGCTTTGTTGTCTTCCGGCATCAGGTTAGTTAAGAACTCTTATACATTTTTCTCATGGATTATCGTTTAAGATACACGGATCTTGGTTCGTCTGCTTCGTATTTATGTCTATATTTACTGAATGTTTTATACCCTTCCAAAAAATTGCAGATCATAAATGTTTACAACCAGGAATATGAGAGTGCTGCGGCGTTCTGGCCTGATGTCCATGGGCGAATCATTTATGCATTGATTTTCTCACAGGTGGTTCTAATGGGACTACTAAGTACAAAGAAAGCTGCCCAATCAACCCCATTTCTAATTGCACTTCCAGTAATCACAATATCATTCCATCTGTACTGCAAGGGCCGTTACGAACCTGCATTTATCCGATATCCCATAGAGGTTTGTCAAACTTTATTTAGTAGTCAGGCCATCACGATTTATGTTCACCCCGATAGCCCGATTTTATTGTTTGAACGGGTCTTTCCTCTTTTTTACTTCATGTTTGTTTCTTATCAGTTCTGATTGTAATGTTCGGATTGCAGGAAGCAATGATGAAGGACACTTTGGAACGTGCAAGGGAACCAAACCTGAATTTGAAAGGATACTTACAAACTGCATATGCCCATCCAGTTTTCAAGGAAAGTGAAGAGGACGATGAAGCCGAATCAAACGAAGCATTTGAAACAGAGAGTACGTTGGTAGCGACGAAACGCCAGTCGAGAAGGAACACTCCAATACCGAGCAAAGCCAGTGTTCCTTCGTCTCCTTCTTTGCCCGAGGTTCGGAGGGATAGGCATCAACCTTGAAAAGTAAATCAAAAGGTACATAGGATCCACATCTCTTTGTACATTTTACTGTAAACTAAAATGGTGTCTGTTGTGGAGAAATGATGATGCTGTAAATTGTATGAGAAAAGGTGTAGAATGTAGAGTAGTAACCAATGAGAAGAGTTGGAGTTGTCATTATGCTTAGCATAGTATAATTTTTTCTTATTTAGTTGGTTTTTTTAATAATAAGGATTATGATAAATTATGTACTGTCGGGGCCTTTTCTGCAATTTCCTGTTTTTTTTGGGTTCAATGTGTAAACTATTTTTGTGGCAAGCCCTCTTTTATAGGTTAAAGGAGGATTGGATTTAACCTACAACTCTTAATTGTTGAATCTGAAGTGGACTGTAATTGAGTGGAGTTTCTTGAGAGTCGGGTCGACTCTCGAGTCTAAAAACTCTATTTGCTGAAGACTTTCTTCAAACGAACAAGTTTCGATTTAGTTAAATGCCTTTTTCAAAGAAAAAGAAAGAAAGAATACTCTACTAGAAACACGACACTAAGAGTTGGATCAGCAAACTTATATTCAGCAAAAATTTCATTTTTTTGGGTAGTACACAATTGGATGGGGGTCGGGATATAATTTGATATGGTAGATGGTAAAATTTGCGATAGTTTGAACTTCTTTCTAAATCAATTTAGAGTTAAGCTTTCTTTAACCTGAATCAATTTATTGACGTTCTTTAATCAAAAGAAGAAGAAACATGTCTTAATCAATTTGTTAATTTGTTCGTGTTGACATAAATAATGGTAACACTAATTTAAGAGTTGTCTAGTTGTTAATTTTTTTTTTTAAAATTTGTCGTAGTGTCCAGCCAACTCGGTCATTTACTCATTGAACTCGAACCTGAATCAACCAATTCCTAAAAGCATAACCTAACCCAACCTTTATAATTTCGGTTTGGTTCGTTCGAGTTATCATGTTCAATGTATGCTCCTAATAAAATCGGTGAAATACAAAAAAAATAAAAAATAAAAAATTATGAATTCATTTCCAATGGTGGGTATTAGGTACGATCGAAATTTAGTAGATAAAAAAAAAAAAAAAAACACACTTTATAAGATTTATGTTTGTTAGGGTTTTATTAACATTATTTTATTTTTTACAACAGCTTTTTTAATTATTATTTTTTATTTAATGAAAGTTACTTATTGGCTGTTGGCTTACCAAAAAACCCTTTGCATTCAAAGAAGTGAAAAGGGGCATATTTGGAAATAAATTAGTGAATTAATTAAATATAGAATTGCCAACCATAATATAATTCCAGCCATTATTAATGGAAATATTGACATTTTATTAATATTCCAAATACCATTTAAAAATAATAATTATAATCAATTAATATGATATTTATTAGGTACATGAAGCTATTTATTATGTCATAATAGCATAAATTGCTAGAAAAAAAAAGAGTTATTCTAATATGATGTAATTAAACATTTTTTTTGGTGTAACATTCCAAAAAACTTAAAAAAATTACAATAATACCCTTAAAATTAAAGACGAAGATGATGAATAAGACGAAATAGACGATTTCAATTAAGTATAAATTATTTATTTTTTTAATAAAAGTTAAAAAGATGTTAACGGTGGGTATTATTTAAATATGATAAATTTAAATTTTAAGTTTTTTTTAGTTTTAAGGGTATTTTTAAAATTTATAAAATTCTAGTTATTTTTTTGAAAGCGACGTCGTTTTTCTGATATTTTGAATCTCACACGACATAGAGTAAAAAGATATTGAATTGCAATGTTTTGTTTTCCACTCGAGACTACTGAACGTGTTATCCACGCGCTCTACCTATCATCGTATATAGTCTTCCTCAGTTTCTTCCTTTTCTGCCGCTCTGCAAATTCCGAAGCCCCAATTCTGTTTTCCCAACAATGGCGCGAAAGTCTTCTCTCCTCAAGCGAACCCTAGCTTCTTCCTGCATTATTCTCGCCCTATATGCCATCGTCAACACCTTCATCAGCTCCACAGCCACTCTCAAGCTCGACCGTTCCTTCCCCTTCAGCTCTGCCAATTCCGTCGTAGTCTCCGATGAATTTGGTTCGCAAGACACTGATCTCCTCAATACTTCAGGAAAATTCGTTTCCCCTGTCAAGATTTACCTCTACGATGTGCCGACGAGGTTTACGTACGGTGTAATTGAGCACCACGGCATAGCGCGCGGAGGGAAATCCGTCGCTGAAGTCACGGCGCTTAAGTATCCAGGTCATCAGCATATGGCGGAGTGGTTTCTGTTCACGGATCTGCTTCGACCGGAGTCGGAGCGTATTGGGTCTGCTGTGGTTAGGGTGTTCGATCCTAAGGAAGCGGATTTGTTCTATGCACCGTTCTTCGCGTCCTTAAGCTTGATTGTGAACCCTATCCGACCTGCAACGTCGTCGGGTCAGCAGCAGCAGCTTGTGTACAGTGACGAGGAGTCGCAGGACGCCTTCATGGAGTGGTTGGAGAAGCAGGAGTACTGGAAGCGGAACAATGGATGGGATCACGTCATTATAGCGCAGGACCCGAATGCATTATATAGGGTCATTGACAGGGTTAAGAACAGTATCTTGCTCGTTTCGGATTTCGGGCGGTTGAGGGCCGACCAAGCATCGCTAGTTAAGGACGTAATTGTCCCATACTCCCATAGGATCAATACTTATAATGGTGATATCGGAGTTGAAAATCGCAAGACTTTATTGTTCTTTATGGGCAATCGATACCGTAAAGAGGTATACTTATGCAATTCCTTGAAATTATTCTATTTATGCAACGCCTTTCAAATTAACAATGGATATTGTTAAGGATTCATCTTGTTTCTTCCTTTTGCCCTTTTTTTTGGTTATTATACATTAGCTTTTAGGTTTAGAAAGTTGGGAAGACTTGCATGATTGATTGTCATGGGGGAGGGAATTGTACGTTTGAAATAAACTTGTCTGGAAAGTGGAAAGTGGAAAGTGGAAAGATGACATTGGATATAACCCTTTTAGCATTAAGCTCTAGATACTGTTAGCTGAAAAGGATAGTGATATGAGGACCTTTAATTCACTTACGTTTAGGATATGATGGTTAAACATTCGAGGACCAAGTCTAGGGCGTTATTTATTCTTGAGAACCTACATAACTTGCTCATAATACTGTGGATTTGGTTTTAATTCTTTCGTTTCTTTTCTTGGATATGATTTTTTTCTGGGAGGGGGTAGGAATTTCTTTAGTTTCTTTTTAATCATATTGGACTTGAAATTGATTTGTCTTTTTATTTTTTCCATCAGTGTCTTAGTTTGCTAACATAAACCTCAACTAGTAATGCTGAACTATTGCTAGACCTTATAACAATCGTTGTAGGAAACTCATAAGGTATCTATGTAATAGATGACCCTAGACTTGAATGGATGAATCATCTTTAAAATTTAACCGTTTTTTCCTCTTGACAAGTCACTTCACAGTAGTTGATTCAATTTTGTCTTGCAATTTGACATATAGAGTTAATATGCATATACTTATTATCGAAGGATTAGCCTTCCGTTAGGAGATATTTGCGTAATTCATGAGTTAGTCTCCAAGCTGAGAATTAATATATCTATTACTTAGTCTTAGGGGAGTGTCAAAGGATATTTGTGTATTCCCCTTAAAAAAATAGTTGACCTCCTTGATTTAACCGGTTAGATTTTTTTGGACTTAGTTACTAGGAATTATTTTTTAGATTTAATTACCTAGGTTATTATTTAGATTTATTGTTACTTGTAAGATTTATTTAGATTTATCTTGTTTTATTACCTATTATCTAGAGATTTATTTAGATTACTTCGTATAATCTATTGATTTAGATTTAGTTAGTTTTTCTCCATAAAGGGACATGTAATTCTCTGCAAGCTAATTATTCTTATTACAAGAAAGAACTTCATCTAGCTATTACATGAAAGAACTTCCTCTAGTTTCCTACCGAAGGTATAACTAAATCTAAAGGCTTAAATATTCCCAACAGATATTAGTGCCTTCACTTTAACCCGATCAGTCTCAATATCCAACTGTATTCTCCAAATCCTCGCATTTCTTTTGAAATGAAGTACCTAAAGACAGCCAAGACTTAGCTCTTCAAAAATTCACTCTCTTCCTTGGAGCTCTGTTACCAAATGTATCCAGACGCACAAGGGAGGAAGAGAAAAAATTAATGCACTTGAATCGTAGCAAAAAATCAACATCAACTTCTTGAAGAAACTTCTACCGTATGCTTCCTATGAACAATGTAAATAGCTCAAACCAAGTAATAGATTGACCGTGGAATATCAAATGACTCGATAGTAAACTTTTCTTGGTCTTTGCCGCTCTCCTATTATCAAGGTTGAGAATCCTGTCTCTTTTTCCTGTTTCATTTGAAGATGTCATGCACCCCACAACCCCCCTCCAAGTTCCCTCCCAATCAGTTCCATTCTCTCCTAATCATAGCTACCCTTGATGGCACTCCAAAGATCCACTTATGCTGCAATCAATCCTTAAGTTCATACTGCATCCCCAATTGGTTACCCTTTGAGCTCTGGACTATTTTTCTTACTCTGGTTGTAAGAAGAAGAAATCAGAGTTTGTCACTCTATTATCTGACTTTGTTTCCGTTGCCATTTTCATGTCATGAATGTAATTGTGACTCATGTTCCTCGGTCTAATTTGTGATTTCATAATATGTGTTGGCATTGATGTAGAAAGGCAAGCCTAGCCTACATCACAACATTTTTTGTTTATTTGTATAATTCTTTACTAGTTTATTATTTTTAAAGATTATACTTGCAACCTTCACTCTAGAGTTCTGTTTCCAAACATTTTTGCACATATTGCACTTTTTTCTTTTAATTGGAGGAATTTTCAGTAGTTCCCTTGGCCTCTTTCAAGTTGATGTCTGACCTCCCTCTGTACATTTTTGTTAATATCGTGTGTAGTTTTCTGTAAAATGAAAAGAAAAGGTTGAGATCATAACTGATTTGTTTACTGGTGATTCTATCGTGTGTTAAAAGGGAGGAAAGATACGTGATATGCTTTTCAATATACTTGAGGAAGAAAAGGATGTCACAATTAAGCATGGAACACAATCACGAGAGAGTCGGCGTGCTGCTACACATGGGATGCATACATCCAAGTTCTGCTTGAATCCAGCTGGCGACACTCCCTCTGCGTGTCGACTTTTTGATTCTGTAGTAAGTTTATGTGTGCCAGTGATCGTTAGTGATAGTATCGAGTTGCCTTTTGAAGATGTTATAGATTATTCCAAGATTGCAGTGTTCTTTGATTCGGTTTCTGCTGTGAGACCTGGATTTTTAGTTTCAGAGCTGAGGAGAATATCGAAAGAGAGGATTCTGGAGTATCAGAGAGAAATGAAAGAGGTTAGTACTATGTGTGAATGCTCCTTTTCTTCTCATAAACATTTATATAACCGTAAATAGTTTGTGGTAAATTTTATCTTATATAAATACTTTTAACACTCCTAGTAGATTTGAAAATTTATGGAAAGCCTAATAAGTGGAAATCAGTATTAATTGGGAATGAAATGATAGTATAGGGGTTCAAACGTTGGACCTCTTGTTTTGATATCGTGTTCAATAATATTTTTGTCATATTGTAATGTGTACAACTTAGATCTTCTTACATAGGAGAAAGACCACTCCATCATAAGGAAAAAAATGAAGACAATATATACTAAATATTAACAACTAATTTTTACACAGTTATAAAGACAAAATTCCAACCGTTTCAAGGCATTCTACTTCTGTTATGCTGTTTGTTTCTCGTGTATGTGTTTAGTTTTAAACCTATTTCCAAATGGGTACAAATAGTGCTGGCTAAGAAGTGATTCCTACTCCCTTGATCATTAAACTGGCTATGTTTTTTGTTGTTTGTTTTCCCTCTAAAAAGCTAAACACTCTTTAACAATTTAAACTAACGAAACTTGCTTGAAACATGTACAGAGAAGTTACGATGTTTTTGTTACTTCAATAAAATATTAAGTCATGCATATTCATAAAGTCACTTCTATTGGATGTATTTTACTCAGGTAAAGAGGTATTTTGAGTATTCAGACTCGAATGGCACAGTGAACGAAATATGGCGTCAAGTCTCACAGAAGTTACCTTTGATTAAGCTAATGATTAATCGTGAAAAGAGGATTATTCATAGAGATGGTGATGCACCAGACTGCTCTTGTCTCTGTTCAAACCAAACTGGCATCAGCGCCAGACTATAATTCTTTATGTATGAACCTCCGGGAGAATCCAGGATGTTCTATAAGCGGCATGCCAGCTGCAAGAGACTTCGAGTTGAAGGAATTTGAGGATGGATTTATGCCTTACTAGTTCCAACTTTTGAGTGCCCGTATTCCTCAGCTAAGCTGGCTTTACTTCTAACTGGGCAGGTATTTGTTGCCATATTTATACGCCTTTTCAATTATTACTTCTCTATTATGTACTGTTGAGTTGGTTATGTAGAACTGACATACACATGCAAAATCTGGTAATATTTGTAGTTATTTTTTTCATTTCTTGTGTATTGTACAGAATAAGGGTCTTTAATCCTTCCATATTCGATTGACGTCGTTTCTTCGTGTTTCCCTTGTTGTAGGCTTTAGATAGACACATAGTAAATCTGATTGTGTTATTGTAGATATCACTCTCTTCATCAATGTTTTTGGTTGGTGCTCCTGAAAGGAGATTCTTAGGTGAATGATTGTCGTATTGACGAGTGAGAGCGAGTTTGGAATGACTTTTTAAGTGTTCAAATTCCTAACCGGCCTTGGATGGATGATTTGGCTAGGGATATTGGTTTTGATTTGTCATAGAAAACTGACGTTTTGGTTGGTTGCTGTTAATTGTTCCCAATGATGATTGATTTCTTGAAGTCCAATCCCTCCATTTGAACCTTAGTTTTTTCACCCATCTTCTTCATCTTTTACCCATTTTGTTTAGTCCATTTGGCTCTCTCGTGCTCTCATTCTCTTCTTTCAATCTCTCCATAAAAGAAACCACACCCTCACTGATTCACTTGCATTGGATATTGCCTGATAGCTGAAATAAAAAATTGAACCAAGAAATTGAATGCAGGTAAGTCCCGACGACACTCGAAGCAATCTCTTACCTTCTTTGAAAATGGTTACGCTACTGGTTTCGATGTTTATTTTTGAAGTTTTCACTTTCAATTTTGATCGTTAATAGAATAGAGTTTTCATTGGTTAGGTTGAGTTGCAACATTTTTTTAAATCTAATTCCTTTTGTTTTTTCTGTAAATTTTTTCAATTAATTAAGGATGCAATCCAATTTGAAAATTGAGTTGAATTGAAAATTTTATTTTTAATAAAAGTAAATGTTAATAGATAAAATATTTATTTGTTTATAACACTGCATTTCAGCATCAACTTCAAAACATATTTATGATATTCATTTTTATTCAATTTCTTTTAGTGATATTTATGTTTTTTTAGAATACATTTTAATCGTGCATCAAACATAACTCTAGATGGACCTGAATAGAATAAGAAAAGAAGTCAAATGGCAACATCATGTGCCTATTTAGCTCTGAAACATTGTAGGTGCCCGAAAAACGGAATGACTATAACTTAGCCTCAATGTTTTAACCATAAAAGTGACCCCTCTTTTATAAACACAGATTAAAATGGACATTTTAAAAGTATATGGACCAAAATGAACCAATGCTAAAAGGTAGGACCTATGAACATTTTAAAAGAACCAAGATGAACATTTAAAGAGTATAGACTAAAATGAATCAAAGTCGAATAAATTTAAATTTATAATTATAAACGTTAGATCATATTAGTGATATTTTGTTAATGTTTTTATGCTGTTTAAACCACCGTGTCAATTCACTTCTCATATTAATCTCGAAGCTATGGGCGTGGAGGAAATGGCCTTCTGATAGATTCATCCAAGTCATCTAAAGAAATCATTGCAATCCTTTATTTTTGTTATGTGATACAAGAAAATATACGAAGAACAGTTTAGTATGTTATATTAGAAAATGTAATGGAATTGGGTTCAACCTGGAGGCCACTTCAGCTGTCTCCCTCCCAGGACGTGCAGGTGAAGATGATACACAGATTGACCTGGTGTGAGGAAGAGAGATATCAGTGTAAGATGGTACCAAAAGCAGAGACAGAAGAACACCATAGATGGTTGCTGAGGCTTACAAGCACTTGCACCACTGTTGATCACTACACGAAATCCTTCAACAATACCCTCTTTCTCGGCCACTATTTTTGCTGCATATAGCAGCTGACCCAGTATCTCCCCATGTCTTGCTTCAGCCTAACAAGTTCATACACACCTCAATTTCACACATTTGGGCTTATTAAATGCTTAAACACAGCATCAACAGATGATCACAAGCAAACTGCATCTTCAAGAAGAAGAGCTCAAATTAGTGCAAAACCGTAACAGTCCAAGCCCACCACTGGCAGATATTGTCCTCTTTGAGCTTCCCCTTAAGATTTTTAAAACGTGTCTGCTAGGGAGAGATTTCCACACCCTTACAAAAAATGTTTTGTTCTCCTCTTCAACCGATGTGCGACCTCACAATAGGACACAAGGCAGTGTGTCAACAAGGACGTTGAGTCTCAAAGAGGAGTGGATTGGAGGGTCCCACATCGATTGGAGAAGGGAACGAGTGAGGGGTGGATTGTGGGATCCCACGTCGGTTGGAGAGGGCAACAAAGCATTTTTTATAAGTGTGTGAAAACCTCTCCCTATTAGATGCATTTTAAAAACTTTGAGGGAAAACCCGAAAGGAAAAGTCCAAAGAGGACAACATCTGCTAGCGGTAGGCTTGAGCGGTAATCCATTCTAGGCCTCCAGCTAAAAAAAGGAAAGAAAGAACGAAAAAAGAAAAAAGGAAAAAGAAGTGTGGTTGACAAACTTAATATTCAGAAGGGTATTACTTTTGGAAAAAGAGATATAAAAAGAGTAATATGAGCTTATTCTACTCAAGAAACATAGTTATCTAATTTATTGGGCATTCAATTCCTAGTTATCCAGATGTCAGATATGTAGACCTCCTATCACCAAATAGCCCATGAATGCATAAAAAATCACCCAGAATCGATAATACACTATATCTAAACTGTTTGCTCACGTTTATATACTTTGTAGGAAAAACAAAAAAACAAAAGAATGAAAGAAAGAAAGGAATCAAAGAGAAAAAGGAACACTTAATATGCTATTTCAGAGGAACTCAGTATGTGCACAGATAGTATAGAGAGATAAGAACAAGAGGAGGAAAAAAGAAACACCTTTCCCAGCTCCGTCAATCCATCTCTGAGCTTTGGAATGATTAATATATGAACAGGAGCTTGTGGATTTATGTCTCGAAATGCAAGGACCTTCTCATCCTCATAAACGATGTTTGAAGGAATTTCCTTGGCTATTATTTTGTCAAATCTGAAGCAAAAATGTCAAAGAATATCAATTCCAGAAAGTATAAGCTCAATATCAGTCTAACTATTTTCTTTTAACATCTAACATTGACCAGTATCTTAAAAGATAAAAAAAGTGTGAGATCCTACATTGGTCGGAGAGGGGAACGAAATATTTCTTATAAGAGTGTGGAAACCTCTCCCTAGTAGACACGTTATAAAACCTTGAAGGGAAGCTGAGAAGGGAAAGGCCAAAGAGGATAATATCTGCAAACGTGGGCTTGGGCCATTACAAATGGTATCAGAGCCAAGTTCCGAACAATGTATCAGCGAGGACACTGGGTCCCCAAGGGGGATAGATTGTGAGATCCCACGTTGGTTGGAGGAGGGAACAAAACATTACTTATAAGGGTGTGGAAACCTCTCCCTAGTAGACGCATCTTAAAACCTTAAGGAGAAGCCCGGAAGGGAAAACCCAAAGAGGACAATGTCTGCTAGTGTGGGCTTGGGTCGTTACAAAAAGCTTCCAGTAAAGAATTTGAAACACAATTCAAATGGCTCAAACCCGAACATCGTCTCTTTCTCGAGACTTGGTTTTCTTGACACATGTTAACCTTAATAATGCCTAGATTTAGATCCTAAACATGAGACGTAGCTTAGTTTCACACCTAATATTTTGATCCGGGAAGGCAATATATCCCTTTGCTTTGTTCAAGAGTTGATAATTTTTTCACACTAGCATGCATATCTTCTTACAAGTGAATAATAATTCTTCAAGCTTAATTCTTGGATAATGGAATTTTAAGGCTTTAGCAACATCTAATCAGCCTGAATAATTTATTAAAGACATACATGGTTGGAGCTCCACTGTCTGCATCAGATGCAGCTGCTTTAGCAGCAAGTTCTTCATTGTTTGTGCTGCTAGCACGAATGGTCAATCTGGAGAAAATACAATGCAGCAATAAAAACTATGTCAGTACTTGAATAGCTAGCTTATTGGAATAGTGGGAAGAGATCAACTATTGGAAATTCAAATGGAATTAAAATTTTATTAAGATGTTTGAGCTTTCCCTTTCGGGTTTTCCCTTTAGGTTTTTAAAACATGTTTGCTAGGGAGAGGTTTCCACACCCTTATAAAGAATGCTTTGTTCTCTTCCCCAACCAATGTAGGATCTCGCAATCCACACCTCTTCGGGGCCAACGTCTTCATTGACACTCGTTCCCTTCTCTAATCGGTGTGGGACTCCCCCAATTCACCCCCCTTTGGGTCCTAACGTCCTTGCTGGCACACCCCCTCGTGTCCACTCCCCTTTGGGACTCAGCGTCCTCGTTAGCACATCGCCTGGTATCTGGCTCTGATACCATTTGTATCAACCCGAGCCCATCGCTAGCAGATATTATCCTCTCTCTTTCCCTTTCGAGCTTCTCCTCAAGGTTTTTAAAACGCGTATTCTAGAGAGAGGTTTCCACACCTTTCTAAAGAATGATTCGTTCTCCTCTCCAACCGACGTGGGATCTCACACCATCCCTCTCGAACAAAATTAGAAAATCTTCTAGTGTCAACAGTCAGATACTGTTTACATTTCAGAGGTAGAAACTAGGGGCTCCATACATATTTCAACAAGATGGATAACATTTCTTCGCTCCCATATATTGCAGTCATAATAAGCCAAAGCCATAAAAACAAACTTCTTGATTTCAACATAATCCTCGTAAATACATAGAAAAAGCTTGTCTACCTTCGAGAGCTAGTACGAAGTGGAAGGAGAAAGGCCGTGAAGTGATTGCCGGAATGTTTCAATTTCGCAGTCACCAATGTTCTGGTAGTCGTAGCTATACATTGCCTGCGAGTTTCATACCAAAACAAACAATTTCACATTTCATTGTGACAGAAAATGCTACAAAGATGGGAAGAACAAAGAACACCTCAAGAAAGATGTCCCTGCAGCCATTGGCTTCCCCAATCAACCAGAGCGAGAAAGACTTCGAAAACCCGCAAAATCAAGGTGTGTTGAACAAACAATTGATGGGTTGGGTTCAATTCAGGCCTTAAGGATTATTTGTTCAAAGGAGCTCTTACTTAAATGGGTTGGGCCAAAATTCAGCCCTGAAGACAAAAAATGGGATTTATTGGCGGCCCATTTTCTCTTATTCCATGGGCTGGATCTGCTAATGCCCATCCATACACATCTTCTTCTTACCATATTGTGCAGAGGACGAGAGCGGAAGTAGGATCGACGATGGCTAATCTTTTCGTTCTCAATTTCCCAAGTTATAGTTCCAGCTTCAGGATCGTCTCTGCTTCAGCTTCTTCAACAAATGGTTCCTCTCGCTATCCTTTATCTGATTGTGCATTCTTTTTCCCCTTATTCACTCGAATCAGTTGATGAATTGAGTATCTTAACGATGAAATGGTAGGCGCTCATCCATTATCAGCAGGGAGCGGCGGCGGCGGCAGCGGCAGCGGGCCAGTGATCCTGGAGCTTCCTCTGGAGAAGATACGGAGACCTCTAATGAGGACCAGATCTAACAACCCCGATAAAATCAAAGAATTAATGGAAAGTATACAAGAAATTGGACTTCAAGTACCTGTGAGCTTTTTCGCCTCCTCCATTCATCATATCTTGATTGAACTCGTTTCTAGATCGTTTCCCACAGGATCAACAGACTGAAATGATTATAATATTGGGCGTCCATGATTTTCTTTTGCACTTTTTTCTTCTTTGATTCTAATATGCTTTAAGATTTGGATTAGTGCTAATGAATTTGAGTTAAACGTAGAATTTGATTGAAACATGGCTACATATGCTCTAAAGATTTACTTATTCTCTCCCTCCTGTGGATGCAGATTGATGTTCTTGAAGTTGATGGAGTTTATTACGGTATGCTAATTTTATCCTAATCAATGTTAATACTCAGAACTTGGTACTTTTAATAAATGTTAATACTAATAGTTGATTTTGATCAAACATTGTTAGTTTGAAGTTGATTTTGATCGAATTTTGTAAAATGAATTTCATTATGAGAGTAAAAGTTTATGATAGACGGGAGATTGGTTTTAAGATATATTTAAACTACGAGTTTTAAGATGGGTTATTCGAAAGTATAAGAACGGGAATTTCTTCAACCATGATATCGTGGCCTAATGGTCAATAAGGTTCATACTAATCCTAAAGAGTTTAGAAGCAATAGAATCAAGTATAGTGGGTCGGCATTTAGGATGTAATATCTTGCGAGTTTTCTTGACAACTAAATGTGGTAGGGTTAGACGACTGTCTTGTGAGAATAGTCGGATGTTTCAAGCATGCTTGATTTAGTATAGTAGCAAGTGGAAATGGCTCGTCTAGTTTATCATTTTGGATGACTAGATTTCCTTCCCATGCCTTTGTAGGTTTCTCTGGTTGTCATCGTTACGAAGCTCATCAACGGCTCGGGCTTCCTACAATCCGTTGCAAAATTCGTCGTGGAACCAAGGAAACCCTAAGGTTTGTTGTATTACATCTTAGGACACGTTTGGAGGCTATTTTAAAATAGTTAAAATCACTTTTGTCATGTTCTAACACCGAAACATGCCTTTATTCATTCAAAATCAATTCAATATTTGATTCTTCACGTTTAAACCTGATTTTCCTACCAGCAAAATTGACTTCGAATGATTAAAAACATGTTTCTAAGTGATTTTGAACCGTTTCAAAACCGCTCCCAAACGTGCATATAAGTGCTATTTATAGTGATTGATTTTCCCCTTTATAATGCATTTGTTTGTCCATCATCTTGCAGGCACCACCTACGTTGAGGTATCAGAAGGTTGCCTGCTGGTAGTAAATTTGCAAGTTCCATCAAACTATTTATTGTTTTTAATGCCATCAAAAGCTATATATGGATACTCAGAACAAAGCATGTGTATATGAATATTACAAATATTTTCAACGTCGAAGGTTTACATGTAAAGAAACCATTACTCGCAGATCCATTTTGATGTCGAAAACTTACTAACTAGGGCATAATGCGAGCGTTGCTGTCTCGAGACCGTTACTGATATTGAGATTTGTTTCATGGCCAAATCTGAGCTAATAATCACAATAGTCAGATCTAAGGAACTACTACTTCATTTGATTGATTTTTGTTCTATCATGGAACTTGAAGCAATTTCACGTACATTTTTAACAAAATTCATACAAATTACAATGGCAGAAGAAGAACATGGAACAAAGAGAAGTTTTACTTGTATGCTAGCGGTCCAGATCTTGAGACAGCAAACCTTGGAAGGGGGCTAGGACCTGAGCCGCCTGAAGTCGAGCCTTCAACATGTTTTACTTTGCGGCTGGAACTGTAATCCAAAGGGCCTGAACGACGGGCGTTTCGGTGTTTGGTTTCGATGCTCCTTGAGCTTCCGCTATCATGATCATGGATAGAGCCCTGACTATGCATCATTGATCCCTTAAAGTAACTCAAATCACTGCTTCCATACTGAGGAGTAGCATCGCCACGAGGCTGGCGTGGTGCAGGGGATGCATGAGTTAGCGACACAACGGGCGAGTAACGTGGGGATGCACTGAGGAGTGCTAATGCCCCTGGCGAATTGGCATAGTATTGGCTATATATTGAACGTAGAATGGCATAAGGAACATAAGGCTCCAAAGAGCTTCTTGGAAGGTAAGGTGAGACCTCACATAGTTGATCAAGAAAGATAAGCTGTGCTACAAGATGAGATCTGTTGGAAAAAGAAGTTAGTACCTGTCCTACATAGTATGCCGATTAACGATACCAAAAACGTTTGACATTCTATTGAGCAGACGAATATGGAGAAAACTTAAGGCTTCAACTCGAGCAGGTTTTTAACATTCAAACAAACAGTTTCGAGTTGCACGCAGAATATAAACTAAGAAATTTATATGCAAAATTAGATTACCTGTTAGCTTCACTCCATGAATCTAAGATAATTCCAGCAGCAAGTTTTACAAAGAGCTGCATTGTTGACTTTATGCTTGCTTCAACTGATGTAAGACCGTCGGCCTCGGAATTCAACGTTCCACCAGCATGACCATTTGGAAAAGGCTGCCTCTGCTCGTGTTCACGATCCAATCTCATGTACTCACTTCCAGCAATCACTGCAGTGATGCACCTGCAACCAGATTTAGTTGAGTATAGCAAGAGATAAAAAGAATCCAGACCGACCGTAAGGCTAATATGGAAGGAGAAAGACAACGCTACAAATGAAGACGTATTCAACCAAAATTCAAGCGTGTTAGAACTCAGAAACAGTTATCGTAAGATTAACAAATGTGCCATTTCACCTTGCTAGGCAATGGATATTATTGTTGAAACCTCCCGTATCGACATTGAAGGCAGTCGAATTCCAAATATTAGAAGTCATGAAGGAGGCAAATAAGTATGGTAACAAAGCCCATGAACCATCATTTGCACCCCCGACATCTTCCAAAATCGATCTTATCCACTGCGTATCATGATCAGAGATTACTGCAACACTGTTAGCCACTTCTCTCATCCTCCTAATATCTTTCCTTTCGGGTAATGCGTCGGGTATATGTTTAACGAATCCAGCTAACAACGAATAAATCAAGGGTGCACTATCTTCAAGAACAGTTCCAGCTGCTTCAGCTAAGTTCTGATCAAAAGCCAGAGCTAGACCTGCTTGAATACAGAATCCAATTACCGTCTCCATGTCTACAATTTGCTTAATGGATGCATCTCTTTCAATTCGGTCGCCAGAATGCAGACTGCTGGCGACTGACTCTAGCGCCTCACGGTTAGACCTTAATGATGTGTCGATGCAGTTTAGAAGTGCAGCTGTATGTTCCTTTAGCATACGCTCTAACTTATCCACTCCATAGCCACCAAATATCCGAACAAAGGCTTGTAGTTCTCTGGCGTCTGTGACAGAGTCAGCAAAATATCCACCCACAGGCCTTGTACTCTTGAAGCATTTGTGAAGTGGAGCAAAAAGAATTCCAGCACCTGAAGTATCCTTGATTATGTTTTCAATGTACCAGTTACAGACAGCTTCAGTTGCTGATCCTGTTTGTTGCTCTGCTGGCTTCTCAAATGAATGCAAAGATGAAACTGGACCCGAGCACGCCTCCGCAAGCAAAACATCTCGTATTCCCTGGGTAAGGTCCATGCTAATGTGCTGCTCTGCAAGATGGACAATACTGATATGCCGACGAATCAGAGATTCTAAAATAGAAGGTCGTTGAAGGTCATTCTCGGTTTTTATTACAGCAAGTAACCTCCTCCTGAAGTTGCCAAGGATGCATTCTCTCATATACTGCAACAAATAGCTTATTAGCTATCATGAAATCACATGATTCTCTCTCATGATGCACGATTCTAAAAGAACCATCAAAGTTGTCATTGTTTACGAGACAAAGGAAGCAACATTTAAAGAAAGGATAATACCAGGTAGGACATGGGCTAGAATATTAATAAAATCGTTTTGTTCTTTTTCCCATATACTAGAAAAAGTCGTCTCGTTCAATTTGCCCAATTATGCTAGAAAAGAAATGTGAGATCCCACATCAATTGGAGAGGAGAACGAGCGCCAGCAAGGATGCTAGGCTCTCAAGGGGGATGGATTGTGAGATCTCACAACGGTTGAGGAGGAGAACGAAACATTCTTTATAAGGGTGTAGAAATCTCTCCCTATCAAATGCGTTTTAAAAACCTTGAGGGGAAGCCCAAAAGGAAAAGCCCAAAGAGGACAACATCTATTAGCGGTGGGCTTGGGCTATTACAAATGGTTTCCACACCCTTATAAAAAATGTTTTCTTTCTCCTCCCCAACTGACGTGGGATCTCACGATCCACCCCCTTCAAGGCTCAGCGTTCTTGCTGGCACTCGTTCCCCTTCCAATCAATGTGGGATCTCACAATCCACCCCCTTTGAGGCTCAGCGTGCTCGCTAGCACTCGTTCCTCTCTCTAATCGACGTGAGATTTAAGAAAACTTGTTAATATCATTGTCAAACACAAAGAAAAACCTTCTCTTGTATGGCTGCTTTCTCATAAAGAGGGTATAAAGAAG